CTAACGAACAGAAACCATCAAGGCGGCTGCTGCTGCCCGTGTGGTGGACATGATGAGCCAGTGAATGCGGTTGCGGTTTACCAGAGCACCAGCAACAAAGAGGTAACCCGGAAGCAACTCGGGTGGTTTCGTTTTTCCCACACTACAACAATAACAGCAATAGTCAACAATATACCCGCTTCGTAGGATGGCATTGCTCAGTGTGTTGGGATTCAAACAAGTTTCTGTTTTGAAATAATTAGGTTTGATGTTGGTTTTGCGCTCTGAGGCCACTGTTGGAGTCGGGACAGTCGGTGGCGATGCAACCGGTTTCATTTTACGAATGCACCTTTAGGCTTTAAATGGAGCTAGGCAGCGAAGCATGATTGAAAATTGCACTTCGTGCTTCGTTAGTGTGACATGGCTAAATCATGTGAAATTTTACAGCCCAAAGCTAATTGGTGGTGGTTGCGGGAAGGTTTTCCTCACCACTTCGTCGAATGGAGCCAATTTACGTTGCATGCAATAAAACGAAGAATAGAATGCGTTTTAGTTAATTTTCGGTTGTTAAAAAAACTTCACTTGATCATGAAATGACCGATTGAATAAAGGTATGTCCCTACTAGAATGAGTACGATAAAGTGGATCATTTAAATTACTAGTTAAAACATTCACAATTTTCAATACCATCCTGTCAAAGTGGTGGAAATCTTAATCAAACTGGCAACACTTCCTATTTGAAACTACAAACTCTGCGTCCCAAACAAAGAAACATCAACGATTCCAACCGACGGCGACGGCGGTGGCGGCGCTTGATGGCGATGACAAAGAGCCATCTCACTTTCAAGCGGTCTAAATTTTAATCAAAGATTAAATCTTCGCTTCTCTCGATTCCGTCGCATTTTCCAAACCCCACACCACCCGCCCACCCGCAGATCGTCGCTTAGAAGATGAACACTATCATTTGTTAGCATTTGTTGAACGAAAGCAGCTACACACTGACTGCACTTTGGCTCAGCATAATGGCAAATGATGGGACCCGCTTCTGGCCTGGTCGGGTGGTGGCCGGAGACGCGGCGGAGGGATTAAACATGGAAATGGAAATTGAATTTCTTTTCGATAGCATTAATTCTATTAGCAAGAAGTGCGGAAGAAGTGAAGGCAAAGAAACAGACGTGTTAGCGCTTTCGAGTGCTGCCGTCGTCGTCGTCGTCGTCGTCGTAGTCCTGAGTTTCGATGTTCGGGAAATAAAGAAAACGCGCTGCTGGGAGTGCTCATTGATTGCCGAAATCGAATTGCTGCTAGAGTCCGGGAAAAGAAGAATAGGTGGCTCCACAGCTATTTCAAGTGATTTCCGCAATGACAGGAGGGCGGGTACACTGATTTAGCCCGCAGCCCGCAAGAGTGGATGGGCACGAATCAAGTGCTCCCGGAATCCAGTCGAAACGGGAAAAACGAACAAAGGCGCGCACACGGCACATCCAGTGGAGGAAAATGAATAAAATTATTTACTTAACCTCAAAAAATATTTTCGGGCGCATAAAGGGAAGCTGTGCTGGAGTGACTAGATGGCGAATTAAAGCCAGATCGAATTAATTTGAATACAGTCTTATACCATCTATTTGCGTGGGGTAAATATTCCTGGGGTTCGTTTATAACTTGGTTGGTCTGCTCGGTTTTGCGAGGCGTTTATTTTCATGAATGGAAATTACTGTGTGGGAGTGCTTTCCCAGCTGTTGACTTTCTGCTTAGTTAGTCTAGTCCGCAACGAAGCGCCTAGACGTCGCAGAGCTGTTTCAGCCAGACGATTGATATCGCCTGACTTGTTATTTATGCTAATGGATCTGCGATTTCGACCGTCTGCACCAGATAAAGTTTCGGGCGAATTTTCTCAAACAAAGTTTCATCGGAGTTTTGTAAGTTTAATTGAAAGTTTTCAAAACAACTTGTACCGAAAAATAAACAATTCTAACGTACCCTTCTCTAGATGAACATTTCAAAAGATCCTTTGAATGATTTGATTGATTCTCATCCACTAATAATTCAGCCGAAAAAAAAAACATTTCCTGATGTATTTGACGTTCGGAGCGCTGAAAAAGAATTTCTTTTATCAAACTGTGTGACAAATATAGCTGCATAGCCGTGGATTTCAAAAATGAAAGTCGATGAAGAGAATCGATCAAAGTTTAAAAGACTTTTTGAAGAATTCGTTTTGATTTATTTTCTATCTGAAAATTCTGGTGAGGCAGTGAAGAGAATGATCACAAAAATTTAACGCTCTTATGACTCTTTGTAACAATAGAGAATACTTGCTTTTTGGTTTTTGTGGGGATAGTCTTGTTTCGTATATTTTTATGATGAAGCGTTGTATCACAGAAATGAAGTGGAAGTGTGAACGAATCAGTGTATCGAAAAGTGGGAGAAAATGTGTGTTCATCAAGTGATGCTTGTGGATGCGCTTTACACGGGGTTTCTATGAGCACTCACAATATCAAAGCATACTGCCCATGTAAACTGAAGACAAAGCTTTCCTGCTACCGCTAGATGCGCTAGTGTTCACAAAAATAATATCGGACCACTGTTAGATCCGAAGTTCCACTTCTGTTCTGTGGTTGTAGCCTCAACGTAAATTTGCAGTGAAAGTAGCCACCATCTGGGACTTGCACTGCATGCGGCTATACTCAACAGCAAGATAAAATTTCGTCATCATGGGTTGGACGGGCTCGTTAGCAAAGATGCTTACGTGAAACCTGCGGGAATAAGGGAATCTCCTGCCAACAATATGATCAAACAAAACGATGCATTTTGAGCTTTATCCATCGCTGCATTTTGAGTATTCATGGTGTTTTTTTCTTTAACATTTTAAATTTGTTCCAAATTCAAAATAATTTACAATTCATTTTAACCTAGGTGCTCCAGTTACTACAGTAACTTACCAGCCTTAATTGTTATGATATATATCGAAGTGTTTTTACATTGTTCCTGCCTTGGAAATACAGTATTTTAAACAGGTTTTTTAAACCTGCATGTCAGTATAACAATTGATATCTTAAAACTAAAAACTAAAACTAATTCTTAT